CCCCAAAACCCCAAAACCCCAAAACCCCTTATAATAGAAGCTAATATCTGCTGATATTAATAACTAACAAACTTAATAAATCAATATAAATTTAATAATATTCACTACTAGATTAAAATTGATATTTACCTGATATGGTATTAAGACTTTAAATAATTTCATATTAAAGTTAAAGTTTGTCTTAAGCTAATGGGAAACGTTGACAGCAGGTCCAAATTTGAGAGTGGCTACTTCATGATTGCCACTGATAAACCTTTCTACGAGCCAGGAGAAGTAATTACTGGCAAAGTCTACATTAGATGTTCTAGACCAATTGATGCTAAGCATATAGAACTCAAAATCAAAGGAAAAGAGAAGGGTTCGTGGATGGACACCGTCCATAAAACGGTTAGAAATCCTGATGGATCATCTACTGTTGAAACTGAGAAAGTTAAAAGAAAACATAGAAGAGAGATTATGGATTCTAAAGCTCCATGCTTTGTCTTCAATTCAAATCTCGTTCCAGGAGATTATGTGGTTCCATTCGGTTTCTAGCTTCCAGAAAATGTTCCTTCCACAATGTTTTTCAAGGACACTCATGATCATAGAAAACCTAAAGCCTAGGTCAAGTATTCAATCAAAGGGTCATTAGAGACAAGAAGTGATAAAAATGAAATGAGCTACAAGCAAATATTAATTGTTAGAGAAAAACCTCCCCATTTGCAAGAGGACATTACAAAAGCTTCTGAAAATAAAATTACGACTTGGTGTTGTGTAGATCAAGGCGTTTCAAAAATTTAAGTGCAATTTGATAAGAATACTTTCATGCCACATGAAAAATGTAAATCAGAAATTAAACTTGATAACTCAAGATGCAATATTGCTCTTAATACTGTAAGATTTACCATGGAGTAAGAAATTACCATTAAATGCGGAACTCATATATACAGAAGTGTCAGAACAATCAAGGAAAAGCATGATAATGGAGTCCCCGCTAGAAGTACACAAGTTGGTGAGAAAGAACTTGAAATTGATCTTAGTGAAATCAAGTATCCTGTACCTCAGCATAGAAAGAAGTAAGGATAACTCAAGGCAGTTAGTATTGAGGATGCCTTCTAAATGAGTCAAGCTCAACCAGCCTGCCATGGTCACATCGTGAAGAACGAGTACTATTTAGCAGTTAGAACTGTGTTTGATGGATGCACCTGTTGTGCAGATCTTCCAATGGCTAGAATACCACTAGTTATTATTCCTGTAGTCAACCCTCAGCTTGTTGGATTCCAAGTTCCCAAGGATTATAATCCTCAAGTTCACGAATACTGTCAGGTAACATTAAGACATTGATTATTATAAGTCTTTCATTGATACCAACAGAATAGCTATTATTTTACATATATTAAAGCCTAAAAACTTTCATTGATTTTATTCCAAGTTATACCTACAACTATCTTTACGTTTGTTTTGTAAAGATGGGGTTTTGGGGTTTTGGGGTTTTGGGGTTTTGGGG